CATCATCATCCACCATACCACTGACTGTTTTTTTGCTGCTGCTGATCGACACCCGGTCATCTACCTCATTACTCCTCCTGTATATATGTCACTACCTTCACTGTAAATAAACCTCACTGCTTGCACCGAAGCCAGCCACCTGGGTCCGCTTTTTATCTGCTCGCTCACTCTGTGTTCGAGCGCACCCTAACAATTATGTCAGATCAATCAAGTGTCTGTTGATGTATACAACCCTAATTTCAAGTCAAAGCTAGCCCCTAACAATGGCCAAGAGGAAAGTTGATTCTGAAAACAGAGCCTTTTAAAACCGGTGGGAGGCTGAGTATATGTTTACTGACATTGCCAGTAAACCCGTTTGTCTTATTTGTGGAGCTAATGTGGCTGTAATTAAGGAATATAACCTAAGATGGCACTACGAGACTAATCATCAGGACAAGCTGAAAAATGTAAATGCAGAGCAGAAGCTACAGAAGGTAGAGCAGTTGAAGAGGAATCTGACATTACAGCAGATGTTTTCACCAAAGTGAAACCACACAGTGAAGCTGCTGTGAAAGCTAGTTTTATTGCGGCAGAGGAGATAGCCAAATGAGCCCGGCCATTTACTGAGGGATAGTTTCTGAAGAGCTGCACGATGAAAGTGTGCAACTTCTTGTGTCCAGACAAAAAGGTGTTTGCAAATGTAAGCCTTAGCAGAAATATGGTTGCTGATTTTAAGTTCAAGTTTTTTTAACCCTTTTTAATTTTGGAATATTATATCCTGTCTGGTTCGATTCATATTTATGTTCAAAAAACGTTTAGTTTTAGTCTGTTCAGTAAAGTTTTATGCTGTTCGGCCCGCAACCTAAAGTGTGCTTTGAGTTTTGGCCCTCTGTGCAATTGAGTTTGACACCCCTGCCCTAGACCGATCGGCCAGTGGCCAAGCTTCTGGAGGTTCTTATTTCCACTGAAAGAATCATTGTATTCTGACAGCGAAACAAGCCAAAACAAACCATTTATAAAGAACACAGGATATACCTACAGTACTCAAAATGGCACTGTCTTGTGGTTTAGATAAACTTATGTTTAGAACTGTGCATTTCTGTAGGTTAATGTGATTTTGAAAACTGATAATAAAAACCTACTAATACATCATTTGATTTATCTAAATTTGAACAACTTTCATGCAAGAAAGGCAAAGCATCCCATATTTGCCCTAAAGTAGGCTAATGGAAAAAGTTCTGACGCAGACCCAGACTTATGAAATCCTTTAAGCCACTCAACTCTTCAAACATGTGCTATCAGGACTGGACAACATGCAGGTGCTCATTCCAGCCAATCACAGCAGCAGTTTGGCCCAGATTAGTTCCTCCTCTCTGCTGGAATGTGAAGCGATCAGTGTAATCAGCTGCTGGAGTTTTTCGCTGGATGAAAAATCTGCATTTTGTCAACTCCTATTTGTGGTGTGGAGTTTATGGTGAAAAGCTGCAAAACTAATTTTATAAAACGGAAAGGGGGCACTTTAGAGCAACATGTAAATAACAAAAAAGAGGGAAAATCTTACCAGCTACAAGCAAAAGTATTCTCATGTTGTATTTCTTCTATGACAAATTCTGGAGCAGATGAGAAAAAAGCAAAATGAGCAAAGGTCAGCAAACAGACACAGAACCGAAGCGGATTGTATTTCTTAATGGGAGACTCACCTGGCAGTCCTCTTTGTCTTGGTTCAACTGTGTGCCTGGCTGCTGCTTTATAAACACAGTCTCACCTGAATGGTATGATGAAGTGTGTGTCAGAGTCCCACCCTTCACCAGCACTCCCTTCACTGCATGAATCAACACACACAGACATGCAGGCAGACACAGACATAGACACACAGTTAACACAAGGACACTAAGCCGCCAAACACCAAACAAAATGTGAACCAAGTAAAACTAAAAGTAATGAAACATTATGACCTGAAACAAAAAATTTAATGCTCTCCAATGACCTTATGTACTTGTAGAACTACTAAAAAGCATCAAATATTTGTTTCTTGTTAATCTGCAGGCTGTAAATGAAAGATTACAAAATTCAGGGTCCCTGAGGAAAAATCCCAATAAATTTGTGATCCCCAAACTTTTCAAGCACCTTCTTCATGATGGTCAACATTTAAAACCAAATTTATGACATTTCCATCAGCTTCAGCTGAACTTGGTGTTTAATGGTAATTAACCTTTTCCTCTCTGCTGTCGCCAAGTGTTAGTAAGGTCCTGACCTTACTTTGTAAAGTGTCCTGAGATGACTTTTGCTGTGATTTGGTGCTATACAAATAAAGTTGAATTGAACTGCCAATGTTATCATGCTAACAACATGCTATCATGATTCAACAATGTATAGATTATACTTGCAAAGCATCATTGTCATTTTAAACATTTAGCATTTAGCTGAAGGCACTGCTCTGCCTACTATAAGTATGGCCTCATGGAGCTGCTAACATAACTGTAGTCTTTTTCAAAAATGGCAAATGAAATTCTAAAAATATTAAGATTTTTTAAATGTTAATGTGTATTGTATGGTCATGACACAAAAGCTTTTGGTTATATAAAAACTGTTTCTCTGTACTTGTTTAAAACCATAGAATATCTTGTAAAAACAAAATGAGTATGACTTACGTTGTATGTATAACAATATACATTAGGCTATAATTAGCCACTTAATTATTTCAATAGGGATTCTGCAAGAATGTATCACTGCTACAAATAACTAAGCTAAGGTTAAATATTTGAACAATATTCAACTAAAACTAACATTCAACTAAAATTTAAAAATTCACACTGAAAACAATATACCAAACGTTATAATAAAATAAAATAAAACTTGTAAATACAGTAGGCCTATTTCATGTCATTTAAAGTAAACTGAAAAGGGCAACAATTAATACCAACAGACAATTATACAAACAAACTCGGTTTGTATTCCAATTAATTTGTTAATATGTATTCGACTGTGATAGGCTGGTGACCTGTCCAGGGTGGACCCCACCTGTTGCCCAGTGACAGCTGGGACTGGCTCCAGCCCCCACAACCTTATTCAGTAATAAGCAGTATAGATAATGGATGGATAGATAATAATAATAATAGTAAGGTCTAGTCCTTTGTAAAGTGTCCTGTCCTGAGATGAATTTTGTTGTGATCTGGCACTATACAAATTGAACTGAATTCATTTGGAGATGACATATGCTGTTTTTCAATCATGCAGTGCTCAGTGGAAATTTGGATGAATGGAATACATTTTCTATTCTGCAATGATTTCATTGTTAATTTATTATAAAATGCAGGATGTAATAATGGTCCAGTCCATCTTGGAATGAAATAGTTCTCAGCAGAGGAATCACTGTTACACAGCTCACTCATTTCTCTTCAGGCACCATACATGCCTGGCGGACACTGTGAAAGCTTTACCAGGCTGTGTGGTAACTCCCCTGCACGCTGGAGTGCTACTGCTCATCACCTGTGAGTAAAGATATAGTAGCCTGAGGGCCAGCTGAACACACACACACACACACACACACACGTCATGTTTTTCTCTATTTGCTGCAGACACACTGAGTAAGTCCAAGTACAGGGTGTGTCTTGTGACTCAACTAACACACACACACACACACACACACACACACCTTCAAGCAAGTACTGCCATGCCTTGAATCTCTCTGGATAGTAGTGTGGTTGTGATTTATTTCTTAGTAACCGCCTGGTGTTTCCTGTCTTTCAAAACTGACCCTATGTTACAGCATACTGACATGGAGCTAAAGCCAACTGTTAGGTTTCAGGCTGGGTAGGACCCAAAGTGCAGACACAGACTAGAGTCTACCGTGTATACTGTTTAATATGAATAAAGAGGAACAAAGGGGCAAGAAAAACAACAAAATACTGAACCTGACAGGGCTTCACAATACAGGTGCAGAAAACTAATGTCTAAACAGAATGGTCAGGGAGCTACATAACAAAACTAGGGACCTGAAACTAGCAATCTCTAAAACAGCTGAAAAACAAAGAAGGCAGTCTTAGTCACAAAGTCCATGGACGAGGCAAGGATAAAGTCCAAAACTTACAAGTGTCAAGCAGAAAATGAGAGCAAGGGAACTAACCGGGTGATCAGCAGTGATGTTACGCTCCAAGCAGATGGCTCGACACTAGTGATGTGTCGTTCACTAACGATTCGTTCATTTTGAACGAATCTTTCCCATGACTTGAGAACATCGGGTTGTCTTGGGGAGTGATTCGTTCATTTTGTGTTGACCGCGCATGCGCAACATTGCATAAGATTAGTTCACCTTTTGAGTCCTCGGTTTGGAGTCGTTCATTTTTGAACGAATCTTTTAAAGATTAGTACACCTTTCAAGTCCTTGGTATCGAGTCGTTCGTTTTTGTACTAATTTTTTAAAGAAAAGGGCAACAATTAATACCAACAGACAATTACACAAACAAACTCGGTTTGTACACCTTTCGAGTCCTCAGTTTTGAGTTGTTTTTGTAACATGACGACCACTTTGTTGGATACAGAAATTAGTTAATTTTCAGTCTGTTCTCTGCACCTCCATCACTGTCTGGTTTGGCTCAGCAACCAAACAGGAAAAGTACAGACTTCAGCGAACAGTCAGGACTGCAGAAAAGATCATTGGTGTGAGCCTGTCCTCCATGGAGGACCTGTACACCACACGGGTCAAAAGGAGGGCGGAGAGGATCACTGCTGACCCCTCACACCCAGGACACAATCTGTTTGAACTCCTCCCCGCTGGACGGCGTTACAGGTCACTGTGCACCAAGACAACCAGGCATAGGGACAGTTTCTTCCCCCTGGCTGTCACTCTGATGAACACTTAACCAATGACCATATGATTGGACAATAAACCTCAGTGCAATACCTGTGCATATATACATTGTACAGATTATACAGACTCGTACAGGTCTCTAGTACTCTGTTTTAAGTACTTTATTTTTATCCCTAATTATCTCATTTCAAAGAACATTCCTTTGTTGTCTGCATTCTTACTGTCTGTTCATACTGCTTATTTTGCATTGTTTGCACTTTCTGTTGCTTGTAAATACTGCTTATTTTTGGTATATTACACAACCTTATGCTGGTTTACTGTTTGCACATTGAGAGCCGATACACCAGAGTCAAATTCCTCGTGTGTCCAACACACCTGGCCAATAAAGCAGATTCTGATTCTGATTCAACCATCCTTACAGTTTTTTTTTTACTCTTATTGTTACGTGATGCATTTATTTTTATTATAAAACTGCTTTTTATTTCCTACAGACTATAGTTTTGTGAATATCTGTCAATATGGTTCTTTTCCATAACACTGAATGTCTTAATAAAGAGTTGGTTAATGCTTTAAACTTCATCAGGGAAAATCTTTCTGTATACTATACAGAAGACGGCATGGCACGGCATAGCTTAGCTTAAGATGTTACATGACAAAAGACCAAACAAATTTGACCCAAAATATCCAGAGGTGAGGTGATGAAGTAGCAAACTGCATAGCCTCAAGACAAATGGTATGATATTACTTATAATATGACCTTGGCTGCATTAAAGTTCTTTCACAGTATTGATCTTTCAAAGCAGAAATATCGCAACGAGATGTTTTGATGCCTTGCTTCACCATGCAAGATATCACGTGACTCCCCAAACGAAGCTTCATGACATCACACGTGTATTGTCGATGTGTCGCACCAGTTTTGAATACAGGACGGGGTTATCAAACTCTCACCATGCTTATAAATGGGCGCAGTCCCTCTACACTCCGTTGGCTTTTTGAGAGGCGAAGTGCTTTTGTGGGCGTTATTGCTATAGTTTGATTGACAACCAGGGAGAGTGAGGTTTAGGTAAGATTAGCATAAGATAAGATAAACTGGCATACAGTTATACATTCACATTGGCACATAGAAATTCAAATACAAACCCACATACAATGGGTTTCACCTTCTTCTGCTCCGATTTCCTGCAGGTGCAACTCAAAGAGTTCAAAATGCAATAGCTGAAGTAACTGTGGAGGTTCAGTGTTATTTGGCTGAGTCCTATAGAGGACAAGAGCCATTAAAATACTGGGACTCAAGGGCAGCAGTTTATCCTAATCTTTACAAGCTTGCCGAAAGATATCCTCATATGCCAGCAACTTCTGTGCCATGTGAAAGGGTCTTCTCCAAAGCTGGAGAGGTAGTAACAAAGAAGACGAACAGACTGAAGCCTAACTCAGCTGAAATGATTTGGTTTTTAAATATAAATCTTTGAACCCTCCCCAAATCACCAGCATTTTGTACAACTATTGTCATAACAGCCCCTAGTTGCACAAGCATTTCCCAATTGTGTGTTTTGTAAATATATTTTTGTGTTTCTATCAATCTTGCATAGGCATATCTTTATTACACAGTATTCTAAGATGGCACAATCACATTATGACAAGTATATTAATGTCTTTAAATGACAAAACAGTCAACCATTTCAAGGTGCACATAGAACCTTTATTGTTAAACATGCATAACAGTGCCTTACGGTTTCATGACACCTTGCCCTTATTCTATGCAAATGCTCTGTTGAGGGTTGCCAGCAGACATCGCTAGTGATGGCCATCTGACACTGGGGCTCCGATATAAGCTTCAAACTTGAACCACTGCTTCAAAGCCTGCTTTGTTGCCGAAAAAGACTAAATGTGACTGATGACATTCGAAGCAGAAACTGCTTCGGTCCCCTGAGTGAATCCTGTGACTGGTTCAAACAGTCGATACTGCTTTGTAACGCGAGACCTTGTAGGCACATAAAAGCACTATAAAGCCTCCCAAAATAATGCACAACATGTGTTTGTCATCGTAGTAGGTGTGTGTGAAGTTG